TGTATTATCTTGCTTCTCATCTAAAATGCGTCTGGCATTCAATCTTTAGAATCTTCCGTTCAAACACAACGTTTCATTAGCTTTGATGGAGGCAGGACTATTCCTAAATATTGAAGAGATCTATGAAAATAGCAAATGGAAATACAGAAATGGAAGATTTGAAAAAGAAAGTTGGAAAAGGAGAGAGAGAAATAAAACTCCTGAAGGGCTGAATAGCAAGTGCAATTTGGGAGTCAAGGAAGGAGGAGCTGAAAATTAGAAAGAAATAGCAGAGACCACCCTTAGAGACCTTTTGAAGGAGTAGCAGAGCAGAAGGATAGTAAGAGAAAAAGTCAACAAAGCTGACAGAGGATGTTGATAAGGAATAACAGCATTAAGTGAAGGAGGATGTGAAGGGGGGAAGTTATGTAAAAGGTAAAGTAGAATCCAAGTTTACAGGTAACAGTTGAAATAAAAATGTACTTGGGCAAAAAGCATGGTGGTGCTCCTTCACCCTGCAAAGGAGTTAGAGAAGCAGATACTGTGTCAGCTTTCGTCCTTTCAGCTGAAGAAGTAGGAAAAACAAAGCAAAAGCAAACCCTGCTGGTTATGGCCATGTGTGTGTGGTGATTTGTGTCCTGGTCAGCGCTCCTGGCAGGGCTGGTGTGGAGTGTCCCACGGGATCCACAGGAGGGTGTTCATCGCCCTGCTCTGGTGTCTGGATTAGTGTAAAGAGAAAACAAAGCTTTAGAGAAACCTAAAACTTCTTCACTGGGGGGAGGAAACGGAGCTAAATTCATTCTCTATATCTATACACAGGAAAGGGTCCAGAATTCTACAATGTGAAATTTCCATATGAAGTTATTGCATAGAAAAACATTTGCATGTTTCTATGCAAATTTCTTGCATGAATAATTATAAAACTCAAATGTACTTAACTATGTCAGATTCCACAAATCACTAAGCTGCTAGCTTTTTATTTGTGAAAATTGTGTAAAGTACTGTGTTTATCCTTTATTTTGTGCATGTGAAATTTGTCTTAGACTTGAAAAACTTTTCCTGATGTGGTATTGCTTTTCATTTGAATTTTGGAAAATTCACTTTTTTATTATTATTTATAAATGGATCAGTTTGGACTAAATCCTTCAGGCCATGCTGAGACAAAGGATATTTTTATTTCTTAATTATTAACAGTAGTTGAAACAAAAAGAATGAAGTAGATTAAATTGTTTTATAACTCGATTTTCATGTGTAACCTGGGTTAGTTGCTGCTAAAAGTACATTTTGCATAAGACCTTGTCTGGGCACTTCTTGTTACAGGCATGGTTTTGATGGGTGGGAATAAATTTGCTAAGCTTTCGCATATCTTATGTGCCTTTGAGGATGGCCCATTAATAATATTAATATATAGGTATTTTCCATTGTTGTGTGCAAAGCATTTCTTAGAACTTTGAAGCTGAAGTCTTTTTCTTTTTAACACACGGACCTTTTCAATTTAATCCATTAGCAACTTGGCAAAATAAAGTAATTGTCCAACAGAGGAAGAAAAAAAAAATCTATTAACATTTGCTACAAATCCGAGTAGTACAGGCAGCACTTAATTAATGGAACAGATTTCGCACTATGTGTTCAAGCTAACATAGCTATTGTTCAGGAGAGATTAGACCCTTAATGTAAGTAAGTTAAACTAGACCTCCATCTAAAAATATCCGTCATTTCAGCTATTAAAGGTCTGATGTCTTCTTCGGTGACAGATATATTTCCCTTCATTTCCTTGGTTTTGTAAAATGTAAAGTATGCATTGTGTGTAACGCGAGAAATCCGTGGAGGTAGATGAAACCCCGATTGTGGCTGTCTCTCCCTGCCTGCTCCTTTGTGCTGCTCCCTGTCACAGAGCCTCCTCAGCCCTGAGACCTCCTGGCACCAGAGCAGAAACACAGAAAATGCCATTTGTCAGGGTATGATGCCAGCCACCTAATCTGTTTGCGGAATGAGGGCCACGGGATCCGATTAGGTAATTTAGATACCTTGAGTTTAATAATACCTGAGCTGCCTTTGGCTGTCAGCCCGTCATTTCACTGGTAGGAACTACCACGTTCTTCCATTTCTTCTGCGAACATCTTGCCTGTAATACCTCATTTAGTCCAAAGAGGTGTTAAGGGCTGTGGGTGAGGTATATGTGCCTTTACTTCTCCTCTGTGGAAGTTAGCGATAGGGTGGAGGAGGTGAGATTTGCACAGTTGTAAATAGGTTTTCCCCAGCAGAGTTCCATGTGCAGCACATCCTTTTTTCTTCAAAATGAAAACTTTCAAACATGGGATGCTTTGTTTGAACACCGAACGTGCTGTGCCAGGTTTCTGATGTCGGGCCGTCCCACTGATGTCACTGGCAGTTTTTGAAGCTTGGTTTACCCAAAGTGGTTATTTCACCCTCGTGGTTGAGACTTTCCCAAATTGTTGCTGAAGCTGAGTGTCTCTCTGGGGTGAGAGGCCAACCCTCCCTGGGGGGATCACCTCCCTGTGTCCCTGTGGGCAAGGGCTTGCAGTCAGAGCCTGGGTGCCTCACTTCATATACCCAGTAAGAGAAAATTTTGGCTGCAATTTTAATGCCACATCTCCTCCCTTCCTCTCTCCTTTCCGCCAATTAGCATTTTTTGAAAATTAGAGTCTAGCGAAGCCTGCTAACATAAATAAAAGTGTTTTAGGATTTGTTTGCTTTAATTAAAGTGTGTCTTTCTGAAAGGATTTAGTTAAACATCTTTCTTAAACAGTGCTGTGCCAGTAACAGCAACATTAGTAATAGTGATAAGACCCAGAAAGGGAAACCAACTAGAAAGCAAAATTAAATGTTTCTTTGTCCAAAAAATAAATGGTCTTCCCAGGAAAGTGGAGGAAACCCTGTGCAGGGAAATTTACAATTAGGTTGGTCAAAACAGTAGAAAACAGAAAATATGAAATAAATCCTGTAAAGGTATAGAGTGAGGCTGTGTGAGGTCATCTTTTTGCTGGTTTTATTTTGTTTTCCTCTGTTTTGACTCTTGCTGGTTTTTTCTGGCAGCACCCAAGATGTTCTCAGAGCTTTCCAATTAGGAAATAAGTTGCTTTTCATGTAGTGATAAATTATTTTTCACAGTGAAGTTGGAATGATTGTAAGGGTAATGATATTAATGGGATTTATATGAAAGCATCCAATTAAAAAATCGAAACAGCTGCATCAAACATGACTATACAATGTAATAAAATCATATAATAAATATGTGGTCCCGCTACCCGGTATTACCTAGTTTGATTAATTGAACCTTACACGTGCAAAGATAGTCATTGTCAGACTTCTCAGCCATCAAGGAGGAACAGTCTCAATTATTTTCACAATGAAATAATCATTGCTTTTTTTGTGTTCTGCCATCTGGAAAGAGAAAACAGCAGCTGCCATGACTGTGAAATGCAAGATCTTGCAGAACTGTACAAAGTTGATTCTACTTGATGCTGGACTCCTGCAGCCTTAGTGTAGGCTGTAATTTATTTAGTGCTGCTTTTCTTCTCTTTCGGGTGCTTGCATTTCTTTTTTTTTTTTTTTTTTTTTTTAAAAACAAAAAAGCAAAACTGACTCCTTTCGCTCCAAAAGTCTCCCTGTGGCTGCACTGCAGGGCCTTAGGGCTGGTTTACAGCATCTGCTTATGAGATGGCAAATGGGCAGTTTCCTGGTTTTACTTCAGCACTTCCTCGTTTCTTCCTTTCCCTTGGCCGTGTGGTGGGAATGCTGCCTGGAACAATTTGCTCTCTGACACAGCAAGATGAGAAGGTGGGCTCTGGGGCCACATCCCCCTGCAATCAGCTGTGAGTGCCTCTGGACATGTCTGAGCTGGAGCAAATCACCTGTGCCTGTAGACCTCCTGTCTCCAGTAAATCATAAGCATCTCAATCTTTTTGTCAGGCCGTGATATGAGAATCCGCATCTGAATTTCAATATGAGGGGAGGGAGGCTGATTAAGTGTTTGAGATAAGGTTATGTGACACCACAGGTTAAAAATATCTGAACTGATTTTGGCCAGGTGCCTGAGAACCACATTGCACTGTATTCAGGTGGCACTGAAAAGCTTCTGTGGAGTTTGCTGTCTTCTGCTTTATACAAGCAGTTTTCAGGAGTGGTCCTTTAAGAGCTGCATCTCTCTTGTTTTACAGCATTTCTTTGGACTTTGCTATCCTGCATTTCTTATCTCAAATGTCACCAATATGATGAGTTATAGGAACTTATTATAAACCCTGGCTGTTTAGCAAGGAAAGGACAAATATTTTTGTTTGCCACAAATGTCTGGAGAAAGACTCAAGTTAGATCCGGAGAGTTCTATGCAGGTTAATTCTAGCTCGAATAAACAGGGCTATTTGTTCCAATAAGCAAACAACGTGTTATAACAAACAAAAAACCCAGCAAACAAAAACAAACAACCCCCCTAAACAAACACAAAACTGTATAATTTGCAGAGTGCAAATTATAAAATAAAGCAGTGTGCTTCTGGTAAATCTGGGAAATAGACTTAAAGAAATTCTAAAACCTCCTGACTCATATGACTGTACCTAATTTTAATATTTTACTGGTTGTTTTTTATTCATTATTTGTGTTTTTATAAATATTCTTAGTGATGACAAGCAACTTTTTGGGTATGTAAGCTTTGGGTGTAAATAATAGGAAAGGAAAGACCTGCTAAGTAAAAGGCTTAGACTAGGCAAGTTGGTCTGACTTGTTTAAATTCTTACCTGCGTTTAAGAGTTTCAAAGCTGTAGATGGAAACAGAAGGATTCAGGATACTGCACTGCATTTGGGGGTATCACTTTTGTTATGTTTAAAGACTTTTCTTATTTTCCATGTAGGTTACCGTATTCTAAAAGTCTGATGCAGAAATACGACTTTCCTTTGTTTTCTTGTTTTCCTTGGTTGATTTCAGATGTACACTTGGCTGCTTATTTTTTCTAGTTATACTGAAATGTGTTGTGTTTACGGTGTGTGTTCCTGTTCTTTTACAGATGGACTGAAGCCAGATACCAAGATGCTTCTTACTGTTGCCTCCAAGAAGAAATCTAAGGGAGGGAAGGGGGATATGACCAAGGAAGATGAAAGCAGCAAGAATGATTCAGCCCAACCTGTTACTATCTCTCTTAGCTTTAAGAGATATGTCTTTGACACGCAGAAGAAAATGATTCAGTCCTGAGAAAGTAAGGGAGGCCTCTAATAGCACCTGAAAGTCTGGACTGAAATGATTTCAGGTGGAATGTATTTCTTTTCTGAACACATTAGACTTGTTCCTTCTTCACCAACAGAGCCTGGAAGTTCCTGCTGATTATATGCCCCCTTCCACGATCTCTGCATTCTCATATTGTTCTGTTAGAATTTGCTTATTTTGTCATCTTTGTGATGTGAATCTTTATGGCATCTCAGATAATGTCACCTGCCAGAGGAGCACATTTGGGTGTACATTGTAATTGCACTGTTTTTCTGGGGAACTGTGTTGAAGTTTCTCTTGATTTAGAAGTTTGCCACCAGTATAAATCTAAATCAAGTCAGGATGTGAATTTCATGTGACCCACAAAGTGAAGCTGATTATTCTAGGCTTACTTCCCTGAGCAAAGCGGGAGACAGAAAGCACACAGTTTAATAGGTGAAACCTAAAATGGATGTTTCACATTCCTTCAGCTGCAACTATGTAAGATGCTATCTGAGAGATGGTATGGATGTTTTTTATAAATATGATTTATATCTAGAAATGTTTTTCATATTAAACATAATAATGTGTGTGACTGAGAGTCTTAATTATTCTGTTTGCTGTTCCAAAGGTTCAGAACCTATCTTCAGTGACATTTTATATAACTTTTCTGAATTTCCTGCCTGTTCTGCAGAGAATCCTATTCCAGAACTGGTTTTTGTTGTTGTTGGATTTTTTTGTAACCACAATGTCTTTTGTGTGTGAAAGAAAAAGTTGCCTCTGGAAATAGTCAAGGGCTTTATTTCATTAAAATAATGATAGAAGATTGCTGCATAAGCCTTGTAAAATGAATATCTCCACGATGCTTTAGAAACCATTAGTTGTTTAATAGGGATTTCATGGCTGCTTTAGTTCTTCCTCTGTTTCGTGTCCTAGGCTCGTAAAAAGGAGAGCACTGGTAATATCCCTTCTTTGTTACGTACAAACCACCTTAACGTGAAGACTCACGACAGTTCTACAGATACAAAAGCTGTGGTGTGGAACAGAAATTGGACTTGGGCTTGTCAGCATGGAAAATGTTAGTTCCTGCCTTTTGAACAAAAGGAGTACCTCTTGTTGATGCTAAATAGCAACCTCTGACCCATTCACTGAAGTCAGCCATAGACAGTGACCATGGGTATAATGTAAGTGCATTACTTGCACGTGGAAGTAAACAACTAATAAATTACTGCACTCATTAATCATGAATTATTATATCCATTGGTGGGCATCAGTCCATCATGCTAACACGATCCTGATTTTTTTCAATCTTTTCCTTTTAATTTCCAGGTAACCAAAGCGGATGCAAATGACAAAACTGTCAGCTATTGAGAGGATATTTACAGCTGGACGGGAGACAAGACAAGTCTGGTGTCTAAACTAGGTTCATGGTGCCCCTTTAAATCAGAACAGAATTAGTGCTTTCTGTAATAATCCCAAACAGTTTCTGCTGAGTGAGTCCCAGCAAAGCTTTAGCACATCCCTTAAGATTATGGGGTATGCTTTCAGTGTGATCCCAGAGGAATTAGGCAGGCAACTTCAGCTGTGGCTTAGCGTGACTTGCGCTGCCAGCCTTGCTGGAAAATGTATCCTTCTGTAATGGAAAAAATGCATTTCACACCCCTGTCACCTCTCCTTCCCCATTTCTCACTTCTTCCCAGACACCCCCAAAGGCAGTCTTTGGGAAGAAAATTTATAATGTTATCTTTCTTTCAAGCCTTTATCAAATCCTGTTTTGTACTCTGCACTGTTACCTCTGCCTAAGATGCTGCAGTGATGGAACCAGAGAAACAGATGACATAGAAGGAATGGTGTTATTAGCATCCCAGGTTAGTCTAAGAATTATTGATAGAAAAAAACCTTCTCATAAAAAAAAAAAAGAAAATGAATTGTTAAGGAACTTCTACTTGTATCTGTGTAGTTCTAGTGTGAATGCCAAATTTTAAATGGGTTGCTAAATTCTGCCAGCTCTGGAGAATTAGAAAGAAAAGGAGAGTGATCAGGAGAGGTGCTTTCAGAGTTGTTAGCCTTGCAGTTACAGGTTTTTGTCTTCCTCATTTCTAAGGCATTTCTGAGTAGTTCTGGAGAAGAGGCTGTCAGTGTAAATGGGAATATGTATTTTTACAAAGGACTACCTAATTAATGTTTTACCCCCCTGCACTGTGGATTGGCCAGTGAGTCTGCTGTTATGGAACTTGGTCTCTGAAAACTCGTTAACCCTGAGCAGTAGATTAGCAGCCCTCTGCTTGGCTGAAAGGACCCCTAGTGCTGAGCATCCCATGGTTTATTTGCTTGGGGTACTCCAAGGGAGGGAACAGCAACAACTTCCAGAGTTGGACCTCTATCCTTTTCTTGTCCAGTCTCTTGTAAACATACTTTTAAAATCTTCCCCCAATCTTCCATCTCATTTCCAGACTAGCATACTAACTCAGCATTTTCCTTCCGTCCCCTCAGTTCAAGACCTAACCTCCTCCTCAGTCCTCCTGTTTGCTATCATTGCTTCTCCTTGCTCTGGCTCTGCCTTTGCCTCTGGAGAAGGAGATGTAAATTTGGGTGCTGGCAGGGCTCCCAACACCTGCTGTGGGAGCCCAGCATGGTGGGGAAGGTTCCTTCCCTTCAGCTCACACCAGCCCCTGTGTGCGTTGAGTAGCTGCCTCTGTTCAGAGTCTCCTGGACAGCTACCACAGACCCACAGGAGCTGTGCTGAGGGGTGTGTGCTGTGCCTCACGAGTCCCTTCAGTTCCTACTGTATCCTGTCCTTCTGCTTTGCCCCTGTTGCAAAGCCCCATCTTCTCATTTTGCTCCCCTTTGTTTGTGGGGGACGGAGAGCTGGAGAGGAATCTGTTGAAGATTGGGGCTTGGTTTTGTGTTTTTCCCAATATAGAATTCCAAAAGGAGAACTTAAGTGTGCCTAAGAACTTTGATTATAATGTGCTATTACTGCAGATCTCTGGCTGCTGTCCTGAGGCTGTTGGATACACATTTGAAAAAGGGTGAAATGGTGGAACAAAATGATTATGGGAAAATCAAAGCTTTTAAAGACATTTGTAGGATGAACAGATGTTCAAACATTCTTTTATTTGGTTTCCAGACAGACGTGGAGACTTTCCTTTCATCCTCATAATCAGTGCATTATGCTGTAATTTGTAAAAATGGCATTAAAAAAATATTAACAGGGTCATATTGTGATCTACTGACTCTGTGTCATTAAGCCGTGAAGTTAAGAACGGCAACTGGGAACATGGGTTAAATGTTGCAGAATGTACTGTACTAGGATACATTGTCAGACTCTATTATAATGAATCCAAAATGGAATAAAGATGTAAGGAGTGCTTTTTAATACTGCTAAGGTTGTCAGTGTTGCAAAACTAGAAATTATTACGGCTGTGCAGATGTTTGGTGAGTAATACATCTTTGGGTTGAGGGGAGAGTAGCAGGGAGAAAAACTTTGTTTTTACAAGCTTGTTTTCTACTTTTTCCGTGGAATTTATTTTGGGACTGCAGTCTGGCTTGTGATCATGCCAGAGGTCTGGAGCCATTAGGGTCAAAGCTGTGTTCGTGGTAGCAAGAATTCAGTAGGTGGCATCCTTTGCTTGGAATCAAAGCTGAGTCTCCCCACCTAAAAAGGGGGCATGCACTGGAACTGAAAATGAAGGGGTTGAATCAGGCTTGCAAACCAGCTCTCAAAGAAAGGCTTCTATTAAAATAGAAGCTTGAGAAAATCTCATATGTTGAGATTTAGACAATTCATTTAATGACTAGGACAGAGCCATCGAATGCAGTCTGTTGACCAAACCCTGAGGTATCAGTGTCCTTTCTGGGTGTGTCTTTGGCTCTGCTGAAAACAGCTCTATTTCTTAAATCCTGTTTTAATTGGTTGCAAGTACCTGACTGTGGAAAAGTGAGCCACCTCCACCAGTGAAGTTCCTGGCGTGTACGAGACTTCTCTTTCTGGGCAGTGGGCACTTTCCTTGCCTGTTGAACAGCTGAACAGCCACGGGGTGGCAGAGCAAGAGGGAGAGCCCAGCATGGGTGAGAGTAAAAACAGTGTGATCATGTCCTAGAGCAGCTACAGTCCACCCCAGGACTGCTGGGTGAGCAGCTCTGTGTTTACATCTGTGAAGTGCTCTGGGATCTTGTGAAATGAAAGATTAAAGGCAGCAGAGGAATGCCACCTTATTAACAGTTTCAGAAACTCGTTGTGTTTTCCCTGTATTTTAATATCCACAGTGAGCTGGGAAGCTCTTCATGTACAAACACATGAGTTTTACACAACTTACTGAGGATATAGAGAATAATTTTAAGATAGAGCCTAGAACTGTGAGCTAACCTGCCAGGCCTGGGAGAAGGGGAAGAATGGTAGGACTTGAGTCTATAAGGCCAGCTTTGCTAGGTGATGGGCATCCAGAAGGAATCCAGGGGTTTGGGGAGGTTGTGTTTAAGCAAAGATCTTGGCGGTCTTTTGGGATTCCCCACAAATCCTCCTGCTGTTCTATGCAAAAATAGGTTAAAAACATCATTTGACACAGTTGTAGTTCTACTGTAGACCATATGTAAGAAGAGGAAAAGTACATTGGATCTGCTTATTTCCTGTTGACAAGGTCAGAAAATGGAGTCTTTCCCACATCTGCTGCTGTGTGTACTGGGCTGCTTTTAGTTCCAGTTGTTCATGGACTTAGAGTTTAGGGCAGAATGGATTTTTTGTTCCTTGGTAAGTATGACAGTTCTTTGTTTTTATTTGTGTGTCTGATATGAATGCTTTTCCAAGGTGGTATAATCCATGTGCGAGGCTCAGATCATCTTCTTCCCGCTCAAGGTGACTGTTGTTTGTCAAAGGTGAGTCCTCTGCAGGACGTCTTTGTTTAAGGACCACGTATTTCTGATGTGCATTTGTATGCTTTTCCTAGTAAATGACAGGAGAGGGAATCAAATTCTTCTCTTTTTGTAGCTGAGAGTCAGCTGTGAAAGGAACTCACTGAACAGAATTATAAGTCCTGCAGGATCTTTGGTACATCTGAGCCCCATACTGCTTTGCAAGGCTCATTCTTAATAACATGACTGTCTTTTTGTCTATTGAGTCCTTGCCAGTCCTGCCTATTCTAGTTTATATTTTTTAACCAAAAGGTAATTTGAGGTCTGGATCAAGTGCTGCTAAGCTGACAACCGTGGTAGTGACTGAGGTGCCTGCTAATACTCTTGCATTGGCATTTTGGCTAAATTGATCTGATTACTTTTGATCCTTTAAGAAATCTAGTCTAATCATCAGCTCTAGCGTGTTTTATTTACATCAGTTTCTTCTCCTTTGATTGGAAATCATGCTGTCTTCTTGTGTTTGGATTGATCATGCTTAGATTTCTCAAGGGCCTCATTCATGTCAATCAGAGTCCATCCTTTTTGGACTGCAAAATTGCTTTTATTAGGCTGTATGTGGCCCCTATTCAGATGTGTAGGAACCAGTTCTTTTATACTATTTTACGTGAAAACTGATATTTTAGTGCCTATAACTTCACTCTGAGAGTTAGGAGGAATCCCTGCCCTCATGGTGAATTCATTCCCAAAACAGCATTCCATAGGGACAAGCTGAAACTTAAACCTCACACAGTGGTTTTGCCTAAATTTCTTCTGCTTTCCTAAAGTAAGTGATCCCTTATCTAGTTCTCTTCAACCAAAGCTTGAACTCTGCACCCTCTGTGAGAACACTGTTTTGTTACCTGGAAAGATCAAGGTCTTTCAGAAGCTCTCCTAGTAACTGTCAAGTTACTGAAACATCTCCATTGGTGCCCACCCCTTTTAATGTGTATGGGATTTTTTTTCTGCAGAATGTTGGTCATACACTCTGTGAGGGCATTAGAAATGGAGATGAGGTACTTAGTTGCTTACTGTGTGGGAATTGGAAATAACCAAAATTATTTCCCCCAAAAATTAGGCATCTGAGGTGTTTTCAATTTTTATGTGTATTCTTTAACTTCTCATTTCTTATGACAGAAATACCCATTTTTATATGGTAGCATAGGAATGATTTCTGTCTTGCCAACAATATCCTTTCTGGTGATTGATTTCTTGGTTGTCACCATACACAGAGCCAGTGATTGTAGAGAATCGAGTGAATATTCCAAAATCTCTTTTCTGAGTTAACGCTCCCAGTTCTAAGCTTAGCATCATGTAACTGTTGCCTATGTTCATTAATTTGCATTTATCTGTTCTGAACCTTGTTTACCTCTGTGAACCACTTACTTGGTTGTGTCTGATTCTTCTGGAATTCCTTGCCATGTAGAGTGGCTTTTGCATTCCTTGTACTGAAAGAATCTGAGTCGTCCTGTCTCAGCACTTGGACTGAGGTACTGAGAAGAGAGGGAGAGGGTGTTTGAGTGACCTGTGCTATGTGAATGGCTCAGAAGGTTCCCTTCAAAAGGAATTTTTATATAGGGAGTGCACATGCCCCCAAAGCAGAATGCTGCTCATGCAGGAGGGTGAGCAAGCATGCTTTTATTTTCTTCAGCTGTTTGTTTGGTTCTTTTTTCATACCTTGAGATTTAGACATAAAGTTGATGTTCTGTGTGTGATATAATTTTAATGTAAGAGTGAGACACTAATTCAGATCCATTAAGTGTTGTTCTGTGCATCAAAACCTATGTTTTTTAAGTTTTATCATCAGTTGTTTCCTTACAAAGCTTAATCTAGAGGAGTATACCCATGGAAAAAATTTTAAATGTTGGACTGATCAAGAATTCTCGCTTGAAAAGTTTTTTGCACTTCACTTTACATCTTAAGATACAAGAAGGATGTCAGACTCTTGGCTGATTTCCTTGGCAAGTGTTCAGCTACCTATTGTAACCTACAGCAGCTGAAGGGAGAGGTGGGATGGCCTAAACAGTGTTCTGGCACGAGGGCAGAAAGTTAAGAGCACAAGATGCGTTTTCTCATGTACATCGTATTTGTTTCTTTTTTAGATGAACTAAGGTTTCATTGTTAATGAATGTGGAAGGGAAAAGGAAAGGATGCTATTATGTCATCTTGCCTTTTCGAAAAGGTAGTTGGGGAGCTCCAGTAAGAGAAACATTTTGTTTGGAGAAAAATGCAAATCCTTTTATACTTCAGTGTAGGGGGTGTGTTGTTTTTAACTGTGAAAATTAGTCTGTGCTTACAACCCCACTGGGTAAACAGACAGTTTGGTCTCCATAAGTTGAGTTGTAAATCTCATGTCAAAGCATGGCAGTTTCAGCAAGAGATCTGGATTTAGAACAGTGCAAGAGCACAGAGGTTTGCCAGATTGGAATGAAAACAGAGCAGTCAAGAAACAAAACTGAGAGGCACAGGTTTAGGCTGAAATGTTTTTGTAGAGATCTAGAACTGCTGTAATAACAGTATCTGAGCACATTTATTTAGTAATTCTGTTGGTATATAAATGTTTAAGTATCACAGGTTTTTAACATATACAATCTCTTTTAAAGCTGAAGCTGCTGCAAGATCAGTATTGAGAAAAGCTCTTGCAAAGCATTTTATCAACTCCAAATGCTGACAGTATTTGACAATTTTTGCCCTTGACATATGATATATTTCAAAAACATTACATACAACTCACTCTCGGTGATGTGTCTGTGCAGTGAATCCATGCCCAATTGATGCGTACAGACGTGGGAGTGTGAATTTAGTGAGTTTTCTGCTGTCACATGTGAGATGCTGCAAGGGTGGAGCAGAGTCTTCAGACTGTAGCTCCTGCTGCTTCTCTTCCTACGTCTCCCTTGCTGCCATGCAAAGGCCTCTTTCGAGTCTGCTGTTGCTACCCTTGAGGGTATTTAGTCCAGACTCCTTAGAACTTTTCCTTTCTTTGCTGGGACAAAAGACTAAGTCTGAGAAACTTCATCTTTTGTTGAGGCAATGCAGATGGAGTTTGTCCATGTGGTCCATTTTTGGTTTGGTCTGCCTTCCAAAGGCAGATGGACTGTCTGTGGTGTGCCGTGTACCCTAACAAAGGAGGCTTGTCTAGGAGATGGTACTGGTGTCCCACTACTAAAATGGGCAGAAGTGAACTTGTAGAAACTTTGTCCACAATTATTTGCTTAAAATACTAACATTAACATGATCTATGAAAGAGCAGCAAAGACCACCTTCAATTTGTAAATAAGTCTTGCTAATTTGCAACATTAGTTTTGCTAGTTAGTGTGGGGGTGTTTTTTCCCCTTAATTAAAATTTTTAATTAGAGCATGCTGTGTATTAAGATGTTAAAGCTTTGACTGGCAGTTTGGAATTGCAGAAGGATCAGCTGTCTCTGTGGGGCTGCAGCACAACAGGGATTAGCTCGCACCCTCCTGCCTGCAGGTACGTTTTGCTTGAGTCAG